CTCTCTCTCTCTCTCTCTCTCTCTCTCTCTCTCTCTCTCTCTCTCCCTCTCCTCAAATATCATCTTATTTTTAAGGCAAGGAGAAAACTAAAAAATAGCTAAGCAATGAGCCAAGTGTTTGCAAATATAGCTTCATTTATTTCTCACAGAAAACTAATCACAGATTGTAAAGAAAAAATAGTTCTCTCCAGAAGTCATGCAAAAGGACAGATATTCCCCAGGGTCTAGGAAATAGTGCCCTACATTTGGTCTTGACACAAGAAGAATTACAGAACACAAGGAACATAGCCTTCACATAGCTGGCAAAGGTAGAATCTGAGGGCAGGGTCTTGGAGACTTTTCTGTCCTCCCCCTGGACACACTAAGACTGGCCTACTTTGCTCCAGTTCCATCCTGGTCCAGGCCCAGCTGGCTGTCCCAGCCCAGATAGAGTACTTCTAGCCGCGCTGCACCCCACCCTTGCACCTTATCAGCGCCTGTCCCGGCCTGCGCTGCCTTCCGCCTCAGGCTTTGATTTCTCATTCACTCCAGCTCTCTCTTAGGCCTACAGGAAGATTGTTTTCACCCATTAAAATAATCCCTTAAAATTACCTCTAACTTGTGGAATATATAAATTATAGTCATCAATGTGCACACATTACTGGGATTTTCCAAAAAGACTTTTCGGAATGATTTGCGGCACAGGCTGATTTGAGCCCTGCTTGCTGTTCTTTTGACACCGATACAGCTTTAAGTCCATGGTTCTTCTTCCCGCCCCCGGGCTTTTTGCTTTTTCTGATTCTTTTTCTAATGTCCTCCTTCCTACACAGCCCCCTCTACCTGGTGTTTCAGGCAAGCTCCCAGCAGGAGGCAGAGGGCATTCTGAGTAATTACTGAGAACTAATGACAGGGACATTTATACAAGTGTGAGCAGCTGTCAGGGATTGATTTGAGACCCCTCCAAGAAAAAAATGTTGAAATCCTAACCCCCAGTACCTTAGAATGTGAACTTATTTGGAAGTAGGAAGATTGCACACATATGTAGGTAGGATGGGGTCGTACCAGAGCAGAGTGCATCCCTGGTCCACTGTGACTGGTGTCCCCACACGACAGCCATGTGAAGACAGACACACAGAGAGCACCATGTGGCAATGAAGGCAGAGACTTCAGTTCCGCAGCCACAAGCCAAGCCCCAGAGCCCCAGAGATGAACACCGACCACCCAGCCAGAGGCTAGGAAGAGACAAAGAAGGAGCAAGGCCCAACTGACACCTTAATGTCAGGCTGTTCGCTCCCAGAACTGTGAGGCAAACATTTCTGTTGTTTTGAACCACTAAATTTGTGATACTTCCATGCAGTTATAGGCAACTCATACAACAGAATTGTGGGAAACAAACAAACAACGACAAAAAAAGATGATGAAAAACATAGAGGCTGGCAACAGAGAAACTGCCACCACCTTAGGCCCAAAGCCTGCCAGTGAGAAGGCTTCATTCAGATCTGTAGCCATAGAAGCACTAGAGTCAGAGGAGAAAGGCAACCTCTGCCAGCCCTGACCTAGCAGGAAGGAATCTGGGACAATAATACCCACCTTCCTCTCCTCCCTCCCTGCAGACTCCGGAAGGAGCTTTGCACTGGCTGAATGAGAGAGCCTCCCAGGGGGGAGGGAAATGGATGCAATGCATTCAGGTCAGTCTCCTAGAGCAGCCGAAGTAGAGCAGATCTGGAGGGATGACAGACCCAGTCCTCACTGCAAAGTTACTTCCCCCGATCCTGACCAGAACCTGGCCCTGTATCACGCTCTTGTGAACCTTGGGATTCTGTAGAATACTTATGACAGCTGCAATGAGGGAACTGAGTGTGCAAAATGTCTGAGTGCTGATTGGCTCTTATGCTAGAACATAAGCCTCATGAGACAAAAGGTTGTCTGCCATTCTTTGGTGACTCTTCAGGGTCTGGCACATAGCAAGAATGCCTAGATTCATAGGAGGTGCCGAGAGCTAGGCAAACTGATGTGAAAATTTCAAGTCCAAAGAAGTTGCCCTTGGCAACTTTCAAAGAACTGTATAAGGTGTGAGCACCATTATTACCTCCTTCAGTTGGGTACTGATGGTGCAATTTGCAATACCCTATAACGTGGCTCCCTTGGGTACTTGCTTACAGTCCTCTGAGAAGGGCGGGAAGATGGGCAGTTAAACAAACAGCTGTGTGGACAGAGCAGCTACCACAGGGTCAGGCAAACCTGCGCTGTTCCTTCCTAAATGTCCTGGAGGCAGTCTGCCCAGATCCATCGCAATAGAAAGCTGAGAAATGTAAGAAAGCTGAGGTGGGTCTTTCATCCACTCAGAGAGAGTTTAGCTCCCAGGCCCATCTCCAAATGTTGTTTGATACTTTTGCTCTTATTTTGTGTCATAAGTGACTCTGCCTTCTGCTGCACTCCCTAGTTGCTGCTATTAATTTACCTGCTGGATTACAACATTTCAAAGTGTATTGAGATTTAACTTCCAAAATGTAGGTCCAAAGAACTCAAACACTCCTGTTGAAATTCATATGAATTTTATGCTGTCATAAACTACAATGTAGTAGTGGCAGTTTCTTCATTTTTTATAATATTCTGTGTGTGTAATTCAATGTACCTTAGGTTATCCGTCAGAGAAAAAAAGACAGATGAGCTCAATAAAGAACAGGAAACTGGTTCAAGTTTGGTGACGGTGTTTCACTGGATTGCTCTTTTATACGTGAGTGAGTCAGCCTTATCCAACTTTGCCTCGAGGGAGTTGGCGGTGAACGCAGCGGTCATTACAGCAGCCTCAGAGTCTTCGTGCACGTACTATCGATCTCCTTGTTTGATGGTTTTTTTGATTACAACTGTAAATGTCAATAATTCTTCTTCTTGTATTAACTGTTAACATCAGCACAAAGTAGCCAACGTGTATATCTAATTTGAGAATGGAGCAACAATATCAAATTTAATGTCGAGGGCAGGTAGCAAAACCTTGTAATCAATCAAATAAGCTGCCTCAGCCTCCTCTCAGTTGGCCTTACTTACTGCACCACATCATCAATCTTGCAAGTGGCACTGTGGTCCCATTAACAGGAGACAGGTGCTTTGAGCCTCCTGTGATTGGCAAGACTCCGCTGTGGGATGGAACAGCTGCAAGCGTGAGCTGGTTTACCCTGGCACATGTGCCTCAGAGAAGGTGTTGGATGAGAGGAGGGACCAGCCGGGGAGCACTTGGGAGCCAGACTGGTTCCTGTGTGGAGCTACACAGAGCATCTGCATCTTCATCCATCTCACCCTCCTCGCACATGTAAGGCAGAGCCGGGGCCCTCAACCAAGCAAGACTCAGCAGCCAAGCGGCAGCAAAGCTCCCAGGACATGGCCCTCATGGACAAGGCCCCTACTCAAAGACCTGAGCCTCCACTCCTCACCGAGTCCCTCTGTCTGTTCTCTGAAGAATCATGGCAGATGTTATGCTAGAACCCCACAACTGGGGTGCAGTGAGGGCAGAGAGGAGAGATGGAGCCTAAGTAATGAACTGTGGCATTTACTCTAACAATTTTCTCAGAGGTTCATAAAATGTTTGTGTACTGTAATGGTTATATCTAGATGGCCTCCCTAAAGCCTCATGCACTCACAGATAGCTCTTTTGAGACAAGATTGGATCTCAGGTGCATGGGAGTCCACTAATGAGTTTATAGCTAAATGTGATATAGAAGGTAGAGCCTATTGGAGGAGGTGGGTCACTAGGGGCATGGCCTGGAAGGGCCTATCTCCCTCCCTCCTCCCTGTGAGACAAAAGAAACCTTCCTCCTTTGCATTGTGGGTGTGGGTTGCCGTGTCTCAATGATGAAGAAAGTAACAAGATAGCTACATACCCAAAATGCTTGGGGTGCGGCATGAATTAAAAAGGCATTTTCCAAGACACAACTCTGAGTGACTCCACCTTCTCCCTAGCCATGTACATCACACATCTGGGTGTTCTGGAGGAGGGGGGCTTGGAAGACAAGGAGGCTCTGCTGCACCAAAGAGCGAGCCCCACCCGCCATCTTGCCCAACACAGAGGCAAAGAGTCTGTCTCTACCATAGGGCACTATTTTGATGATTACTGACGCAAGATAGTCTTTTCCCCTCCCTTCCATCTCTATGTCTTCACTTCTCCTTCCTTGTGCTTGTGATAGTCTCCATGAGGTCATTACCCGTCCCATTTTACGTGTGGGGACAGTGAGCCTCAGTCAAATCAGGGTGGATAGCTTGCTTGCCGAAGCAGAGCCAGAACCCTGGT